CCCATTCCACGCCTTTCTCTCTTTGCCTCCATTTTCTCTCTCATACCTAACATTTCTCTCTCTAAAAACCCTCTCCAATTGCCCCATTTTTAATTCTTGCATTTAATGTACTCTAGTGACAACCAGGAGCAACTGGATAAGCTTTCCCCCCTGAAAACACACACACTATAACTTATTAAAATAGTGTTATTTAGTAGACCTAATATTCAGAACCGATGACCTTTTCCAATGTACACTCACCAAAATAATGTATTAAATACACCCAATATTTTATACCTCTTTCCCAATGTCCTATTTGCAAATGTCATTTTCGTCCTTATCATTTCTCTACATAAAAAATGTGGTCAAATTATAGTCTAGTCAGCATGGAAGATTAAGGGAAAATTACATAGAATCCTCACAAATGGGCTTTCCAACTAATTTACCTCCAAACTAACTTTTTGTAGCTAATTTTTTCCCAAAACTATGTTTTCTAGCAAATAACCCCCTACCTCAAAAACTCAAAAAGTTCTTTTTTTTTTTTGTGATGAAAATACCCCTTCTAGTAGCGTTCTCGTACAGAACAAATCATTTCGCCAGCTATGACAAACCCCATCATTACTTTTGCATGACCGCAGTTGTAAATTGCCGGACATATAAATTCTGTTGGACCGCAATTCTGCACTACCGGACTACTTATTCCATATAGCATTATGTCAGACCGTAGATTAAAAATGGGGGACAACACATTATTCTAGACACAAATACTGGTCTGCACATGTTAACTACTAGACACTTATCGGACCGCCCCTACTTCAGTAACTTAATCGTCGGAGCAATACTTGAAATCACCGGACTACCCCTACTCCAGTAACTTAAACACCGGACAATGACCATAAAACGCTGGACCACCTCTCCGATAATATAAGCGTTGGACCGAAGCTTTAAAATGCCAGACCGCGATACTCCAGTAAGACATATGTCGGACCGCCCATGTGAAGTGTCGGATTGCTTCAACGAAGTGTCAGACCGCACCTTTGAAATGCCGAGCTTATGGCAGTAAGATATCTGTCAGACCGCCCCTCTGCAAGTGCCAGATTAATCTAAGGGAGTGTCAAACCGCGCCTTTTAAGTGCCGGACTGCCCTTCTGCCAGTAATATATCACTGGATCGCCACTATGAAGTGTTGGATTGTTCCACAATAATGTCGGATTGATCATTTGAATTGTTGACTGCCTCATGCTAGAGAGAATTCTGCCGGTGTGCCCTTATGAAGTGCAAGAGTGTCTCTGATTCCAGTGACAGATTTGTCGGACTGCGATAGTCAAGTGTCGCACTGCCTTTTTGTTGGGGGGTATATAACCTACAAAAACAAGAGCTACTATTAGAATTAACAAGAGCTAGACATTTTTTTTTTTTTAATGACAAACTAAATTTTAACAAGAGAAATAAGATGGATCATTCAAACAAAAAATTTACAGCAAAACAAACCCAAAAATTACAACCACCAATGACATTCAAACCCTAAAATTAGAATAGAGAAAAAAGTTTTAACAGGTAGGATAATCAAGAGGACAACCGAGAGGATAGACGATAAAAAAAAGGGAGGATACCATATTCAAGCTAATAGAGAATAAATTTACAATAGGGAAAAAAAATTACAACTACCAATAACATTCAAACCCTAAATGATACTACATTCAAATCAATCATCTATTTTTTTAAGTAGTTTTAACAGAGTGGATAATCAAGAGTAAGATTTTTTTAAGTAGTTTTAAATAGATACTACATGCACGAAGCATCTATCTAGACATAAAAGGAATGTGACAACAATATATATCAGCATTAATTTGCCTAAATAAAATCCAAAAAGGTAAAATTTTTTGTGGGATTGAAGAGAAAAGCAGATGGAAATGTAAAAATTACTGAAAAAGATAATATGATAATGATTTGGGGTTAAGAATATGACAACAATTTATTTTTTATTTTTATAAAAGTAAATAAAATACTCTTTCATACGTTTGATGGGGCTGATTTGGGGCTAAGAGATCGAGCTACAAATCGAGCTCGGGCTTTGGGGGTTGGGGCTGAGAAATCTCGAGCTGATTCACAGAGTCTGTGAGAGATCGGGCAGTGGGTCCTTCTGTAGAGAGAGAGAGAGAGAGAGGGAGCTGCGACTTGGTTTGGGAGAGAGAGACTGTGCGAGAGTAAGCTCGGGCCTGGTTTGGAGGAGAGAGAGCGAGAGAGAGAGAGGGAACCTGGGCCGATGTGAAGAGAGCGAGAGAGAGAGAGGGAGCCCGGGCCGATGTGAAGAGAGAGAGAGAGAGAGTGGGAGCCTGGGCCGATGTGAAGAGAGAGAGTGAGAAAGAGGGAGACAAAGTGGGTCCTCAGTGAAAAGAGATGAGGATAAATAATTAGGTTAGGTCAACGTGTGGGATAAGGGAGGGGTATTTTAATCTTTTTTTTAGTTGGGGGTATTTGCTAGGAAACATGATTTTGGAGAAAAAGTTTCTAAGAAATGATAGGTTGAGGGTAAATTGCTTAAAAAACCCGTTTTTTGGGGGGTTTTATGTAATTTTTCCAAAGATTAATCTTTTTTTTAAAATATATTTTTAATCATCATCATCCCAAGCCTTTTACTAATTAATTGAGATTGACAAAAATATTATTTTTAAAATATCTTTTAATAAATTCGATATTAATTTTAAAAGTCAGAAAGACTGACATGAAAGATCAAAGGATTATGGAGAATATAGAGCCTTGCAAGATTATTGTTTGTTCAAATGAACTCATAGAGATCAAAATTTTGTACCTAGAGATAGGATAAGGCTTGGATAATGATGAGATCAAAATTAGGTCCATCCGGGATGTCGTTTGGCTAAATTTGTAAAAGAAAAAGAAAAACAAGATCGTACTTGCATTCAATTGGAGGTGGTAAAAATTTTGAATCGAAAACTTGTTTAAAATGAGGAAATTTCAATATGATAATTGATTATTTCATGGATTTATGGATGTAGTACAGAGTATCATAGAGTTGATTGAAAAATCAAAATAAATATAAGATTTTACTAAGATAAGCACAATTTATATAAGGCGACATATTATCTATTTTAGTTGGATCATCATCATCACTATAGTATTTTTTCAATTTTTTTAGATATGTAAACTGTGGAAATGGAGGATGGGATATTATGTTGAGACATCCGGTCCCTTAATCACTAATGCCCCAACCCCATTCTTTCTTTTCCCAATTAATTGGGGTTGGTCATATGAATCCCAATCCAACATTTTACTCGATTTAGCTAGATCACATAGTTTTTAAAATAATATTAAAAAATATGTCAAATCCTATAATTTTTAATTCAAATGATTGAGAATAAAGTTGCTGCCTTATATAAAGTTTAAAAAAACAATAAGTTACTTTAAAATTCACTAATTATCTCACCATGGCTTTTTAGGGCTTTAGACTGAAAGGCAAGTTTTGTAGAAAAATCAAAGAATGAAGATAGAAAAAGAGGGGCACTCTCCATATTATAAAGTTCAATGTAGGACTATTCTTATGTACATGTCATTCTATATTATTTTAGTGTTATAACATTTTATATTATATTATAAGCCAATGCTTGACATTGTTTTCTTAATTCTAATCATGCTCCAAATCACTTTGAAATCTTGCATCCAAGTCATTAATTTAAGGGAAATTGTTTCATGTGGGTTGGACAACATTTATACGTATGTGGTCTAGAAAGTGTAAAGCTTCCATCTTAAAGATGGATGCAAGTAGGTGTTCCATATAAAAATAATAGAAACCAACGGTTCAAATGCTTTCTTATTAAAATTATTATTTTTAGTTTTTAAAATTTATTTATTTTATCATATTCATGATTTCCATGTTAGATATTGTATACCCTTAAATTTAAGTCTTAAAAAGTTAAAATCCATCTCAAACATAGATTTATTAAGAGGCCTGCATTTCTACTTATGTGGGCCTTAATTTAATTAATTGTTTTTATCCTCATGTTATTTATCGATAATGAAAATGACATGCAACCTGATAACTAATTCATTCTCTTTTAATGCTCAACAATCTCTAATATCTAGTGAACCTCTTCGTAGCATTTGATCCCAATGAAGTTCTGACTATCTATGAGAGAAAAAAGAAGGAATTGTTTTTGTAGGATGATTTTTTTATTTGAGTTCTAAAACCAAATTTTGGATTACCCACTCATGACATAGGTTTTGAATCAGTGGATCGGTGATCTTGATTGGCCAAACCAATAAAAATCCACCAAAATAATAATAAAAAATCCGGTCGGGGAATCATTGAGTTTTAAACTTGACTTTTTTGTATTCAATTTATTTCTACATTATTCCCTGCTCTCTAAATGACGTAGTAAATCTGTTTTAATGTTGACATTAGAATCTATCTTAATGTCACACTGCTTAAAATTTCCAAAGAGAGAATAAGAGAGTGCAAAAGGGAAAAAGGCAAGAACTTTTCAAATGATAGGAAAGGCATTTTGATAACTACGAGCTTAACCTCTTTAAAGAAAAAGAGAGAGAAATTTAGAGAGTTTTTAAAATTAAAACAAGTTTTTTCAATATATTTTTTAAGTGTATCTTTAATTCTACGTTTTAAGGTTACAATTTTAAATAACTTTTTTTCCAAATGCGATATAAAACAAATCTCTATAAAAAAATTTTAGAAAGAAATATTACAGAAAATAAATTTAATAAATAAATAAATAAATAAAATGTTGGAAATTTTCATATGGGAATAAGGGTATTTTCGTAAATATAAACTTAGTATTTGTAGAGAGGACTTTTTTTAGAGAGAGAGAGAGCCAAAACAAAAAATGTTGGAAAATTGTAAAGACAGGAAGGGCATTTTGGTAAATATAAGAGAGGTCCTTGTTTCATAGGATTCGTCAACTCTTGCTCTGTCATTTTAAGTGTAAAAGGGGCAGATTCGGTAATTGTTCTTTTGCTTTGCCCAACTGCTAAGCATATTTATGGAAGGCCTTGTTGATGACTGAAAAAGAGGAAACGTATCTGCCCTAATTTCTGTACTTTTGCAAGAGCGAATTTCGCCTTTCGCCCTAATTTCTGATAATTCTTTGATTGTTTTATCCCGATTTCAGAGATTACGGTTTGGACTCGAGCTTTGATACTGTTTAAAATCCTCTGGTTTTTTCTAGGGTTTCATCTCTTGTTGTGGTACACGTGCAACGGAGGATTTGTTTTGGTGTATCACCATTAATTCAGGGTTTGGTGTTAGGTATTTGTATATGAACAGGAATTAGGGCTTTGAATTGCGTCTCTGTAAAGGTTTTGGGGGACAATATTGCAAGGTTTGTGAAGTAGAAAAAATTGGGGTCTTTGAATGACTTGGTGCAAGGGATTTGGAATTTGAGAAAGGACCATGGACTTTTCACGGTAAAGCTCCAGGGCTGTGGCTGTGTCATTTCCAGATCCGATAAAAATTAGGGTTTCCTGTACGGTTGGAGCTGTGTTCACAGAATCCTGCGTAAAAATCAATTTTTTTTCCCACTGTTTCTCCGTATTTTTGAGCATCCATGACGGTTCCTATAGCTCTTTATGCAAGCGCTCCTAGTAGTGTGTGCTCAACCCCCCATCCATGCCAAATTAACAATTCCCATGCTTCTCAAGACTATGAATTAAACCCTAGACCAGCTTCCACTGCTCAAAAACCCTTAATGGGGGGACTTTCTTGCCTCTTTTCTTCCCCTTCAGTTAAGCACGCATCAAACCATGCCTCTGATGAGATTGGTACGCTTTGGCATGGCTGTGGCCCTTCAGAAAGGTGTGAAGATTTGAGCAGCTCCTTTTGTTATTCCTCCATTAATTCTTCACTTAAAGGTAGAGAACAGAGCCCTGTTTCTGTCTTCCATGGTCCAGTATCATGTAGCAGTTCGGTATCAAGAAGTCCCCCTGTTCGAATGACCAGAGATCGAACCATGGATTCACACTCCCAGGTTTCATACCGATACAATAGAGATGGGCTCTTTAATAGCTTTGTGAGGAATGCTTTGGGCTCGTCTTGCTTGGATTATGATTCACCGAGCTTTCCAATGCCCGGAAGTGGGTTCAGGCAAGAGGACTCGGATGAGTTCACGTTTAGTATGGAGGGAAATTTCGTGGACACAGAGACGCTTAAAGATGTTTCCTTGCATAATTTTGAACAGAAAAAACAGGCTAGATACTTGGGTGGTTGGTCTCTTGAGCCTTATGCACAAGAGATTTTAGCTGGGGCACAAGCAAGACATGGGATTTTCTGTGATGAATTTATTGTCAAGGCTTTTTGTGAAGCCGAGAAAGCACATCGGGGGCAGGTATAAATATTACAATCTGCCTTTTTAGATAAGTATTGTTGTTTCTATGAAGTTCTCAATTTTCCTGATTCTCGTTCCTTTGAAAAAGTAGGTTTCTAAAATAGCCCTGCTCACAACAATTGGAGTGAAGAAGAACAAAGATTTTTAGCCTGTACTGCGAGGATTATTTGGAAAACAGTTATAAATAGATTGGAGACAAGTTGAAGAGTCAAAACCTTTTTCTTTTTTAACACGTGTTAGTGGAATTGGAAGAGCCAAAATTGGAATTGGAAGAGTCAAAATTGTTACGTACTATGTATTCGGTGAATGATTCATGGACTCTTTGTTACTACGATCATGTATTGGATACATTTTATTTTAGCTTTATTTGGGAATTTTGTGTTAGTGCTGATGCATAATATTGTGTATATTATCTTAAGCATATGTATGAGAATGCAATAGTCGTAATGGAGCGTATGGCTTAGAAATTCAGACTTTAAAATGATACTAATTTGTGAGTATGATGTTTTTTGCTTTGTTAGATGCGGGCAACAGGTGATCCATACTTGCAGCATTGTGTGGAGACGGCGGTTTTGCTTGCATCAATTGGAGCTAACCGTACGGTTGTGGCAGCTGGGCTGCTGCATGATACGCTTGATGACACCTTCTTGGACTATGAATATATATTTCAGTCTTTTGGTGGTGGAGTTGCTGATCTGGTTGAAGGGGTATGCCTGCTTATCTAGTGTTTAATTGAATGTTGCCTTTTGCTGTATTGTTTATGGGCTCTGCAATATCCGGATCACCCAAGAAATCTTTTTAAGCTGCACTAGTGGTGCAGATTGATTTTAAGCTTATGATACTGTATTCTCACTCAGTCTAGCTGTTCATATGTAGTTTTGTTTGTCTATTATCTTTGTGGTTAATTTGTTTTTGTGACTCATTAATACATCTGATAGTTTGTCCTGTACTGTTTTTCTTAAGACGATGACATATAAACTAGATCTTAATCAATGCTACAAATATTTCCTAATTTTGCATTCTGTTTCAAGAGTCTTGCATCATGGATCTCCAGATCTTTCAAAAGTCTGTTGCTTAGTTTGCATTAACACTGGAGTCCTACCTTAATGTGGTCAAATTAGCAAATTTCTACTTACAAAGTTCTTTGTCATTCAAATGCGCGATCTTGGTTTTCCATATGTGGCTTCATTTTAGTCTTTTGAAAAGGTCGTGTGCAAGTAGCTGCATATGAAATATATACGTGTGAACACATGTACATGTTTGCAATTTTCTTTGTACTGTGAAGCATAATGTACCCACATAATGTACCGTTGATGGGTAATTATAAGAAAAAAGATGCTTTGGAGGGATGTTGCAGATTTGGTTATCTCATTCATAGATGGATGATGGGGGCCATCACGCATCTTAGAATGCTGGGCATATTACATGTATATATAAAATATTTGTGGAGTCAAATGGGGTTAGAGGAACTACATTGATCCCTCAGTTTCTAACTCTCAAGCTCTGTTTTCCTAAACACATAGTGGGTGATCTATCGTGTCAATGAAATGGTGGGAGCAATGGACAGGGTAGGACCTACAACAGGATTGTGTTCTTTTATGGTGGATCTTGCTGTCTCATCACAATCCATTTCAATGTATAGTGATATTGCACTGAACTATGCATTTCTCATTATCTGTTGGATTAATTATACTTTCTCCTTGGTATTTTTTATGTTGCGTTTCCTTCTTCTGAATCCTTTTTTTTTTGTGGTATTTTTTATATGCATCTAGTTCAAAATCTAATTTCATGTTTTATTTTAGGTCTCCAAGCTGAGTCAGCTGAGTAAGCTGGCCCGTGAAAACAACACTGCCAGTAAAACTGTAGAGGCAGATCGGCTACACACTATGTTCCTTGCAATGACAGATGCTCGAGCTGTCCTCATAAAACTGGCTGATCGACTTCACAACATGATGACTTTGCGACCATTGCCATTCTCTAAGCAACAAAGATTTGCTAAGGAAACTTTGGAAATCTTTGCCCCATTAGCCAATCGCCTCGGGATTTCGAGTTGGAAGGAGCAACTGGAAAACCTTTGCTTTAAGTATCTAAACCCAGCCCATCATGATGAGCTCTCCTCCAAACTTATGAAGTCATACAGGGAGGTGACGATTGCTTCGGCGGTCAAGAAACTGGGAGGTGCTCTAAAAGAGGAGGCGATTTCTTACCATGTTCTGTCGGGAAGGCACAAGAGTTTATACAGCATCTACTCAAAGATGTTAAAGTACGTGAGCATCTTTATATGCCTTATATTGTAAAGGGTCATGAGCTTGTACTGTTTTCTGCTATGTTACAAGGATGTGGATATGATAATCCATGTCAGACTTGGATTCGAGGAATCTATCTCACCTACCTATATTTTGCAGAATCCAGTACAATCCATAAGCTTCTATATATATTAATATAAGTCTCTTTCTGAATTTTAATAATAAAATCAACATAGAAATGTCTGCACCATTCCAATCTGTGTGGTTCATGTGTCCTCTGTCAACACAGGGGACACATTTGTATCTATGAATCCCAAAATGGGAGATTTCTAGATAAGCATGTGGACATGGGTTTTCTGATTTGTATGCACGTCTTGTGTCTCGAGTGAGTTCATTTTTTTTTGGGGGTAGTTTAGTGATAGGAATTGAACTTGATAGGTAGTGTTTCTAACATCAGCTGCTAACCACTCAAGCTCAAGCCCACATCCTGATTGAGTTGATGTGTCGGATTCTCCTAAATGCACTTAGCGTGTTTGTAGTTTTGACATACGTTCTCTAATGGAGAGAGGGAGGGAGTGATGTGCATACAAGGTTTCTGGTGTGTACATGAGTTTTGCTAGTAAGAACACTGTGCTTAAGAATGCTGACGGCTCATATAAGACCCTGCATCCTTTTCACATGTGAAAAGAAGCCCATTTACGTGCATAAGTTCACCCAAAATAGCTTATATCATATGAATGGAATCAAATGGGCCCTCTCTATCTCTCTCATGGGTTGGCCATGAACCTTGCAGGAAGAAGCTGACTATGGATGAAATTCACGACATTCATGGGCTGCGACTGATTGTGGAAACTGAAGAAGATTGCTTTGCTGCACTGCGCATTGTCCATCAGCTGTGGCCTCAAGTTCCTGACAAGCTGAAGGACTATATAACACACCCGAAGTTTAATGGGTATGTCATGAAAAAGAACTGAATACTAATCTTTCCTTTATTACAGAATTTCTCCTATTGGTTTATGACTATGTCCCTGTGCTTCTGCTTTTTGCAATTTGTAGTTGACATACATGTATAACCAAGTTACGAAAAGCTGTTATCATTTCAAACATTTTGGCTTTGGGCCCATCTGGGCATGTTATCATAGAGATGGTTATGGGTGCTTGATCAATATCAGGCTTTATGGTCAAATGTTGTGAAATTTTTTAAAATATTATTTATTACGTCAGGTAAAGGCCGACATATCGGGTTTCAGAATTTCATTCAAAAGAAAATTGTATGTGGTATGGCTCCGATAATTCCTTATGAACTATTGAGGAATTTACATTCATACCCTTCTAGACATCTGTTATTACAGTTTTTCCCCATAATTTTGTATTTTATGTTCATACCCATTTTTTCATCCTTTTTCATTCTTTTTCAAAATGCCTCTACTTCAGACCTTGGAGGTCCGAAGTGGTTAAAAAAATTTCAAGTGAAAGTTTTGAATCCTGATCTTTAAGGTCCGAAATCAACAATTTCTTTACAACTCCGGACCTTTAAGGTTTGGAGGTGGTAGTGGAATTTTGACTTCGTATCTTCAAGATCCATGTCTTAAAAGTGTAGACTTAGGATCTCCAAAGTCCAAAGTCAAGATCTAAAGTTCACTTCGGAACTTGGCAGTCCGAAGTTGTTGTAAAAAAATTGTTTACGACTTTGGTGCAAAATCATCATCAACCTTCAAGGTGCGATGTGGGGGTATTTTTGGAAAATAAAAAAAGAAAAACGTTATGAAAGTAAAATATTTTCTGAACAGATTAAAAATACAGTACAATAGCCAACAGATTAAAAAAAAAAAGAAAAAAGAAAAAAGAAAGAAGAAAAAAGAAAAAGAAATGGTATGAGAGTAAAATCGAAGTCTTTTGGGGCAAAACTATAATAAAGGATATCTAGGGGGATTGAACTTGGAATTCTCTAAAGGAAAAAGTTTATATAGAGCTGAGGCTCTAAACAATCAAATTAGAGCGCACCTCAAAAATTTCACTAGAAAGGTGTTGTTTTGATGCCTAAATATCGTCAAATTGATCACATCAAGATGCATGGACATGAGAAAAAAATGGATTTCAAGTTTTGGAAATAGTGCATCTTGTAATGTATTTTTGGACTGTCAATTTTCAAGTTTTCATAGATCTGCTCGATCTACACTATTTTTGAAGCTTTAAATTTTATAATTAGAGATGAAATTATATTTTAGGGCTATCACAAAGATTTCCAGTATTGAGACCACATGCCTCGATACTATTTAAAGGTGCTCTCTACTTGGATTGCTTAGAACCTGGGCTCTATACAAACCGCACCCTTATCTAAAACATATTACCTTAAATAACTGCTGTATATACATATATTAATTCAGCTGTTTTATTTTCTCAATGTCCCATCCTATACTTCTGTCGGACACCATACATATCTACATCAGTTTCTCCCTAGTATTGTACTTGTAACATTGTTGGACTTTGTTTATAACCATTTTAAAGATCTCTCTCTCTCTCTATCTCCAGTTGAGATCAGTTGGTGGGGTGTTTCAGGTATCGATCTCTACACACAGTCGTGTTGGGTGAGGACATGGCTCCTCTTGAAGTTCAGATACGGACGCGAGAAATGCATTTGCAGGCAGAGTTTGGGTTTGCTGCTCATTGGAGATACAAGGAAGGTGATTGTGAGCATCCTTCCTTTGTGCTTCAAATGGTGGAATGGGCCAGATGGGTTGTAACATGGCAATGTGAGACGAGCAAAGATCGCTTCTCGTCTCTTGGGTCTGATTCTATTAGACCATCCTGCCCTTTTCCTTCGCATTCCAAGGATTGCCCTCATTCTTATGTTCCTCGTGGAGAGCAAGAGGGGCCGGTTTTTGTAGTCATTATGGAGAATGATAAGGTAAATTACTTTCTATTGGTTTTTTTTTTTTGTGTGTGTGTGTTATTTGATTGGTTCAGACAATCTCAGTGTGATAAGAAAAGGAAAAAAAAATGTATGTTGCTTATGCTTTGTGTGGTTCCTGTGTTTTCGGTTAGACTTCATTCGAGAATCATACATAAGAAATATACCATTCTTTTAGACTTGATCAAAGTGTTCCACATTTTTCTAGTACCCTCCCGATGGCTTTGAAAGGTTGTTTTTTTTTATTGTTTTTGTAAAGATCTATTTTTGTAAAATATAGAGAGTATTTTTTAAAATGGTTTTCATTGTTTAGGGAGAAAGCCTCAACCAAGGTACTTGGCCCTTGGCTGAGGCAACTCAGCTCAGCCAAGTCTGAGTGGACCTGGCTGAGACATGTACACCCAAAAATTGTAAAAATGTCAAGAAAAGGTAAAAAAAAAAAATTGTGAAAAGAGAACTTAAAAATCAGATAACATTAAAAGAGAAATAGATTGCATTAGAATACTAAAGAAGATGAAAAAAAATCTTTAGAAAGATGGATTATTGAAAAACTTCATTTATACCGTGAGTATTTCACAAAAATTAGGAAAGGAAAAAAATATAAAAGTTCTCAAATCATTTTAAAAACTATCAAAATCATCTAAAAAGGGATATTACTAACATGGTTTCTTCTATTTTTTCTTTTTTTGGTATTTTTCACCTTGTTTTTTATTTGTTGTTGGGTTTTTTGGGGCCCAGTGAGTTGGGCACCCAGCTCGCCCTCAACTTCCGCGCCAGTATGGCAAGGCTGAGTTACCCACCTGAGTCCGATTGGACTTTGGCAAGTCCAAAAACGCTGAATGGTTCTTTAAGTGTTCTGGAAAATAGGAGAGAATTTATTGTTTTCCTATCTGTCATATACCTTTATGGGTTATATTCACTGGGGCTTCATAGCCCATTGTTATGCGTGGTTTCCATTGACGATTATGATGATGAGAAAGAAGCCTCTTGTCGGTATTTTGCAGATGGCAGTGCAGGAGCTACCAGCTAATAGCACAGTGATGGATCTCTTAGAGAGTGTGGGGAGAGGGAGCTTAACCCCTTATAGGGTCCTCCCCATGAAAGAGGAGCTCAGGCCAAGGCTCAATAATCGAGTGGTAAGCGACCCGGCTCGTCGGCTAAGAATGGGAGACTTGGTCGATCTCACACCTGCAATTCCTGACAAATCATTGACCGAGTGTAGGGAAGAAATCAGGAGGATGTTTGCTAGGGATCTCACAGTTTCAGGAAGGGGGGCAATGGGTAGGAGTTGAGAACCCCTCTGACTCTCTGTCTCAATGATTGAATCATGTGAGTGTATTTGGTGTTGGATCAATTGTTTGGTTGTGTATATAAATATTTGTACAGAAGTATATAATCTAATATATGATATAGCTCTGAGGATTTGATATGGGGGAGCTGGGTGATGGTGACTGAATGGATTTGCTCCCCTCGTCAAGTTGATGGCTAATTGGATTAAAGTTCTCTCTGATTTGATGGCTTTGGATCAAAGTTCCGTTTCTCTGAATGGGCTCCTCCCATTGGATCCAATGTGTGTGCCATTGCACAAATTTGGTTATGGCTGTTGTATTTGATGTATCAAATGAACTGGTGAATTTTATACAATGTCACATTACATAACTGGGTTATATTTTAGGGTTATACAATGTCACATTCCATAACTGGGTTATATTTGATGTATCAAAAGAACTGGTGAATTTTATACAATGTCACATCCAATGTGGAGGTTACCATCATTCTCACTCGTAATGATGTTTCAAATTGGATGGTTAGGGGTTGAGGCACGAGGTTTGAGAATTGTTTTTTGTAACTCGTAATGATGTTTCAAATTGGATGGTTAGGGGTGAGGCACGAGGTTTGAGAATTGTTTTTTGTAAAGCTTTGTTGATTCGATGACACTCTTTCAACCACTCATTTTGAAAGTTAATGGACAATAACGACTGCAACTTTCATGTATAAAAGATAAATAGTCACTTTGTCGACGAGCCCGTGGATAATCCCATATTTTATGCCACTAGTTGGGTTATGGTTGTTATATTGAATGTATCAAATCAACTGGTCATATTTTGATGAAACGCCTGTTGTTTCTCTTGTAGTGGACTAGAGGAAATTACACGTATGTCCTAGTCTTGTTATTTAAAAAATATCGAATTTTTTTGTTATTGTATTTGTACCCAATTTGTTTGTAATTTTTAAAAATGATGATATTGCCTTGCTTTTGTATTTTGAGAGTATGAAATTTGAGATTTATGTACACCCAATCATAAGGTCTAAGAAATCTTTAGAATTTGAAAATTAGAAGTATTTTAGTTGAGCGAATATTTTGGAACCTAAAATTTTGATTTTTCATCGTCAAAAATGAAAAATCATGAAGTATTTAACTAAAATGATTTTCGAAGTTTTGAAGTACTTGCTCAACTTAAACATTTCAAAATCTCCAATTCTGGAGGAAATAGTTTATATAGAGTTAGGGCTCTAAACAATTAAATTAGAGCGCAGCTCAAAAATTTCATTAGGAGAGATTGTTTTGATACCCAAATATCTTCAAATTGATCATTTTGAAATCAAGAAGCATAGATATGAGAGAAAAAAATGTATTTCAAGTTTTGGAAATATTGTATCTTGTAATGCATTTTGGACTGTTCATTTTTTAGATTTTCAAGTTTTCATATATCTGTTCGATCTACACTATTTTTGAAGTTTTGAATTATATCTAATTATAAAATTTAAAGGCTATCACAAAGATTTCCAATATTAAAACCACATTTCTCAATACCATTTGAAGGTCTGCTCTCCTTTGATTGTTTAGAGCCTTGGTTTTATACAACCTACACCACAATTTCTCTTCTAGATAAATTTATGCTTATATCCCCTTGATGTCCCCTTGCAACATCAGTCCTCTTAAGTTTAACCATCATTGTTTGTGTTTTTTTTTTCTTTTCAAAATGCCAATTGGACCTTGAAAATTTAAAGGAATACAGCTTCTCAGACTTCAAACCATCAAGTTCCGAAGTGAACTTGGGATCTTGATTTTGGACCTCGAAGATCGAAGTTAAAGCCAAAACTTGTTAAGATTTCACTTTATATTTTCGACGTCAATGGTCAAGAATTTCTTTATCATTTCGGATTTTAAAGGTCCGAAGTAATAACAACTTCTTGACTTCATTTCCGAAGTCTAGAATTTCTTTGCAACTTTGGATCATTAAGGTATTAAGTGAGGCCATTTTGGGGAAAAAGAAACAGGAAGGAAATCGGGTATGAAGGTAAGATACAAAAGTTTGTAGGGAATATCTTTAGCAACGGATTATTGGAAAAATTCCTCTTAAATCTCTAAAAATGATGTAGTTGTTATAGGCTTGTTGAGCCGGGCTTGAGCCAGAGTGGTTAGCACTTGAAGCTAGCAATTTTATTTCTCAAGTTCGATTGGTACTACTGAACTACCAATAAACAAATGCTGAGTGAAAAATAGGGAAGAAATGCTAACTATTATTAGTGAATGAAATCACCGATTCTGATTTGTAATAACTTCCTCGAATATAAATACGATAAAATCAAGGGTAGACAACATTAAAAACAACTGATGCATTTTATCATATGATGTTTAGTTACTCCAGTTCAACACAATAGCCCAAGAGAGAGCGATCCCATAAATTATGTGTAAACAAATTGAACTACAGTAACTTAGAGACCACCAGTATATGATGAAACTGTCTTATTGTATACAATCCCTGTTGAATAAGTTATACCACCAGTAACCCCGGCCTTATTGGGTCGTTGTAATCTGATTTATGACACTCTTCTACTTTGTAACTTTTAATTGCAGCATGTCCAACCAAAGCAAACTCCTTTTTTGTTATTTTTTGAAACTTGGTAAAGCAAACTCCAATTAGCTTGAGAGAGAGAGAGAGAGAGAGAGAGAGAGATGCAAGGCTATAACAAGACTGCATTCAATATTATCACTCACATATTTCAATCAGCACAAAAATATAAACTGCCCATTCTTCTATCATCAAATTCCTTGCAAATGCTTGTAATGGGTCACCAATTCTCTCTTCTTCCCCTTCATTCTCGAAACAAAGAAAAGTCACAGGAAAATCTGGCATGTTGATGCAAATCTAGTGAGAGAGTCATGTCGGGCGTTTTGCAGCAAGGGGGAAGGAGACCCTTTGGGGAGGTTGAGACTGGTCAGGCTTTTGCTCAGTTGATTGGTTTGGTTCGGTTTTGTTGGGTTCCTCATCTTCTTCAACCTCTTCAGTAGCTTGGTTTGTTGACCTCCTTGGGAGTGCAAGTTGATAGTTGGGAGCGATCAAGGTGTCTTGTTCGGGGGGTAGTGGAACACCGGGGCCTGCTATGGACTTTGGGAGAGGAACCTTGTTCCGATTTCTGGCCAGCTCCAGCAATATCTGGGAAAGCAATCAACAAAATAGGAAGAGGACTTAGATTGTATTTCTTTTCTAAATTGACTGGTTTTCACGCATGTATCTGTGGTAATGGATGGAATTTGGTGTCATCTTATGTTAAAAGAAGAAATGGTTTGGAATTGAGGAAACAGGGGCCAGCGCAGTAAAAAGATAGCTTCACCCCCAAATACCCCCCAGCTCTCTATTTCTCTAGTGTGTGTCGGCCCGTACACAATATCATGTAAAGGAATAATGCAACAGACATGTTGAGTTTCTCTGTCAGAGCAGCGGCAAATATTTATAAACCAAAACAAGGAACTATGAGTGAATCCAGGCTTCTGTGTCGATCACAACAAGTATATAGTTACAAATTCAAACTTGGCTGTCTTCAGTGCCAAGGTCTAGTATTAAACTGTGTTACCAACTTATGACATGGGAGTTCACATCCAATAATGTATCTATATTCCATATGCAGCAGACCAAGATCCCCACACAGGGATAGACATGACATGGGAATTCACATCCAACATGTATCTATATTCCATATGCAGCAGACCAAGATCCCCGCACAGGGATACACATCCATATGATTACTATTTTATAATAAATTGATAGATTTTTAATGCATATATAATAAATAATAATGGAGAAAGTTTATATAAGGTTGCAACCTTAAAATGTAGAATACAGATGCACCTCAAAAATCCATCGGAAAATGTTGTTTTAATGTTAAAAAACCTCTAATTGATCATCTCAATATCAAGATGTATGAATATGAAAAAAAAAAAAGAAGATTTTGCGTTACAGAAATAGTGCATCTTGCAATACATTATCTAGACCATCCATTTTCAACATTTTCATACGTTTCATAGATCCACTTGATTTTAATGATTTTTGAAGTTTAAAATTTTATAATTAGATATAAAAATAGATTTTGTGATAATCCTAAGAATTTTTTTACCAAAATTACATGTCAGGATAAAATTTGGAATGCACCTTAATTGGATTGTTTAATGTTGTAACCTTATAGAAACCGCACCCAATAATGGATTCATATATATTACACTTATATCTGATTGGCAAAACAATAGACTGCACGAGTTATAGCGGCAAGAAGTTTCGGATTCAAACCCCAGCCTCATGCTTCTGTGTTGCTTTAATACCCACCTGGGTCTAGAAGTGTTAATTGGGTGTCAAGTGTCAACACATGACATATTTGTAAGAATGGAGTGTTTACGTAAATATATGAAGACTATATCAGAGTATATCAACCCATTAGGCTGCTCCCTCTCTGGACTATTCCTTAATTTACTCAAAATTCTTGGACACTCAATACCTCTATTCTACAATGCAATATGTTTTTCATTTAAGGATATTTTAGGTAATTAATAAATGGTCAATTAATATTAACTCTAGTGGGGAATGTCATCACCTACATAGGATGTAACATTATCCACATGGGGTATAACATCACAACCACATGGGATGGGATGTGACATCATCTACATAGGATACAACATCACCCACATAGAGCATTAATTGCTTTCTAATAACTAATAGAGCCACTAGTTTCTTATAAAAACATTTATTCTACCCTTTCTAATGACAAAAAATACCTTGTTTGAAAAGTTTTTGTATTAGAAGGCAAAGACAATGAGTTTCACAATGAAAAGTGACCAGGTTACATCAATACTTCATGAAAGGGAGTAGCCGAACAAAACCCATAAAACATACGATGATTGCATGAATAGGATTGTACTTTATTGGAGATCCAGGAGATCCATGCACCCAATCTTTCCCGTATCCAGAATCCATAGAGAAATGATTGAGGAGGGCTAATGGCTTGGCAAGAACAAGGTCATGATGTTGGGTAATAGTTAAGAGAGGGTGGGAGTCCTTTCCTCATATTAACACCCTTCATTGTATCACTTGGTTAGAATTTCTGGATACTATAGTACAGTTAACAATGAAAAGACTTAAGGAATACAAAACATGCAACAAACCCATGCATGGATACTTGGAAATGGATGCTGTAGCCATATCCGATAATTCGGAGTCCCGAAATGTAATTTACAATTTCATATCACCAACGAAATGATGTAGCAGCTGTATCCACGTATCAGAGCACAAAATTCTTAATAAATCCGTTAGTCGTAAGTCCACCCAAATTGCAAGAACTTGGCCCCTCAAACTTCCAAAGCGTTCTTCACCTTGCCAATAAAAAAATTGACATCTACCCATCGACACTAAGAGCTAGAGGCAAAGAGATCACATCTTTCACCTAAAGAGATTCCAGATACCATAACTATAATTCTTCAATGCATCTTTATTTCTAAAGAGGTAAAGAAGCGATGGTAAGAAGGGACAATATGCATCTAAAACCCTATCTCTAGTTCCATTAAACTCATAAATATACACCCCAACCTCCATGAAAGATTTATTCACCGTTCATGTCAACTGTAATAAAGCCATTTTTGACCCACAGTCTTAGACGCGCATTGTCCAAAAATTCAAAATTGACAAACAATTCTAAATTTGAGAAGTAACTTCTAAGAAGAAATTATTGTATGCCATGCAGGCATGTACTATGGTTACCATATTGCAACCAAGTAGATTTTCACGAACCTTCTAAATCAAGACTAGCTTTAATAAGGTCAAAAAATCCAAATGAAGTGGAAGAGTAGATATAAGCGAGTACTGACAAGAAAGATGCACAAGATGATGTTTCCATAATTTATTAGGACCACAGGTTGATGAAGGGAGTTCTTCAACATTGTTTAATGAAGTAAATGCCTTCATTGTTTATTTTTTTGAGCAGGTCAATGCATTCATTGTTTTTGGAGAACTGAACCTCCTGGCAGAAATTATCCTCCTTAATGAATAGCCAAATTCTCCTTCCACAATGCCTTTAGAGAAAGAAAATAAACATAGAAATGAACCCATTGTCTAAGGAATGGAGAGAAAAAAAAAATATTCCTTGCTTTTAGGCTCATCTTTCCCACTAGCGCAAGTTCCCCTATTGTTTTAATTTTACTTGGTACTCTTACTGTACATGAATCTTGAAACTCTTGCTTTTCCGTGTTTGTTGGTGCAAAGTGATTTATACCTTCTTAGTCTCTATAAATGAATGATTCATTATCAAAAACTCATAAGCAATAAAAAAGTAAAAATTCTCTGTTCTTTTTTCTAGGAAAATATATGCAGTTCTCCACATGCCAACACCCGTCTCTAGTTTCTTCTTTTTAGGTCGATAGACACTAATCCCTAGCTAAGATTTTGATGCCAACCATGCCGCAACTTTCTGCCTTTTTCATTCACATGCATTCCTACAGCAACACATGCATTTCCTTGCATTTCCCTCTAGAGATAGCCATTGAAAACTAGGGAGGTCAAGACTTTCAAGGGAAGGCAGTAAGAGAAAGAAAAGAAAGACTGTTCATACACCCAATGGGCAATTGTAGAATGTTATTTCTGAAAATGAAAGACAAGGCAATATTTGGAGACTAAGGTATATGTGCTACAGTTGATGCAGATTCATCTCAGATTTTGATAACACAAGTCAATGATATTGTCCAAGTCCAACTCGGGGCAAGGAGTAGAGCACCAGATCTAAAGACCCGATAAAGGCATACCAATCACCACAGAAAAACATACAAAAGCAATGGGTTTTGAGAGTTCCTTTGAAACCAGCTGAGTTTTCGTAACTGGCACAAATTCCAGACCATATGACAATAACTCCAGAACCTAATTGTCTGGCTCCAGAAGTTAGCCTAAGTGAATATAATAAGAACTTGGCTGCCAAGACAAAGATACCATGAACAAATAAGAAACACCATTATTGCGAGTCCAGGAATGGCATTAAATCATATATTCTGAATAATGATTCTGTTGCCACATTAAGTAGAGTAGAAGAGAAATGCCAAACTCTAAAATCTCATAAGAACACACACAATATCATCCTCAATTATAGCAAATGTGTTCACGATGCAGATTGGGACGATCTCTAAATGAGATTCGACCAAGACCGAACCACAAACTGATTTTTTAAAAGAGAGATAGAGAGTGGGGTCCATCAAATTCTAATATGAGGTTAGATCTACTCAGAAATGAGCAGATTTGCTTTCAGATATGTGGCAGAGCTAGCAATAATCCAAAAGCACGAAATATTGAATGAAAAATGAATAAAATCTTAAATCTAACAAAAATAACTAAAAAATAAGAGGAAAAAAAGATGAGAAAAATGTCTGGCCGGGCCAGTTGCCCCGGCAAATCTGAGGCTTTGAAGCCTTGCCCGTATCAGGACCCAGCTGTGATTTCCACCGTGGATCCTCTGTGTCTCTCTTCAATGTTACCCACACCTTGGCTTGGTTGAATGGTTTTCTTAATGGATAGGGTTTGCTAGGGTTTTTTTTTCTAGATCTAGGGTTTCTCACAAGTTTTCTCTCTAGTCTCTGAAGTCTCTCTTTTTCCCAGCTTTTTCTCTCTCTGATTTCCTGGGCTAACCACATCCGACTCTCAAAAGAGGCACGTTAATGCTTTTTTATAGACTCAAAAGGGGTGTAGAATGGATAACTACAAAAAATCACAAGATTTGCTAGGATAATGGATCACAAGATGGGGACCATGGATTACGATGTTCTATGGTTCAGTGATTTTATGGACTTCCTAAGGTTGTCCAAGGTTTAGAAAACCAGGGTTTTTGCCAGTCTTAAAATGGGGTGTTTACAAAATGAAATACCAAGATAAATTTCTTTTAGACATGGACACAATACATCACTTGCTCGTGACCTGTGATCAAGGTATGCAGTTTCCAAGAATAAAAGGCTCACCTTCGATAGAGTAAGTCAAGGAGCATCGCTATGCATAAAAAATCTCAAGGGACAAGGGAAACAATAAAAGATCGTTTCTAGATGAAGCACACAAATATATGAGGACTTCATAAGGAAAAACCAAATACAGCGCTCTGCATGTACAAGGCATCAAAGGGTTGGATAAGGTCCCCTTTTTCTCAAAGAAATGAGGTAGGCATAAGAAGCAACCATTCCATCAATGTGCATTATAAATAAGTGTTATTAGAATTGGACTGGCAACTGAACAAGTGTGAAATTTGGTCCAGTCAAAACAATCCACTAATCCAATTGGAAGAGGATTGTAACTGGATAAATATTTTTTATTTTCACTTGAGACTAGGAATTGATGGACTTTCCATGGGTCCCATTTTATTGATGGGATTCATCACTACTTTAGCTACTTCAGCTTGGCCAGCTACTCGAAATTCACGATTATTTCATTTCTTGATGTTAGCAATGTTTAGCGATCAAACATGCTCATTTTCTTCTCGTGACCTTTTACTTTTTTTTCATCTTTTACCTTTTTTCATCATGTGGGAGTTAGAATTAATTCCTGTAGACCTATTGTTATCAATGTGGGGAGGAAAAAAATGTCCGTATTCAGCTACAAAATTCATTTTGTACACCACAGGAGGTTCCATTTTTCTAGTCTATCCACTGATTGGTCGAACTATTTGGACCATATATTTAAAAATAAAAAACATGGATAATAGTTGAAAGTTATGAAAATACAAAAACCGTTGCCTAATTTTGCTTAGCCGGTCTAACGAGTCAAAAATAGGGTCGACCGTCCAAACCAGCAATTCACTCAAACATCGGTATTGAGTGAATTTTTTAATTGCACCAAACCAGCCAATCACTGGTTGGCTGTCCGACCATCGTACCAGCCGCTCCACTCCAGTCTTGATAACTATGCTACAAATAGAAACATAAAGTGCTTGTTTTATAAATGCTGACCTCTTCTTATTTCTTGTTTTTCTTTTTGAAAGTTTCTCACCTCATCTTATTTCCAAATTCAGTAGCAATTCCATGTAAATCAAACTTCTCTACTTCCTTCCTGATGTCCTCATCTTCCCCAAATCTCAACCCATTGACTGCTAAATTTTATGAAATTAATTGAATTTTTTTTAAAGTAACCTTAAACAATCCATATAAGGCGCACCTTCAAATTTTATCATAACATATAATTTTGATGAAAAATATTCTTTAAGATTATCTCAAAATCTATTTTCAAATCTACTTATAAAATGTTAAACTCCAAAAAATGATTAAAATCAAGTAGATTTATAAACATATCAAAATCTTGAAAATGAACGGCCTAGATAATGTGTTATACGACGCACCATTTTTGGGACTCAAAATCCTTTTTCTTTCATAGCCATACATCTCGATGTCAAGATGATCAATTACAGGGCTTTTTAAAATTAAAAGAACCTTTACCGATGGATGTTTGAGATACATCTGTAGTTCTACATTTTAAGGTAGGTTGCAACCTTATATAAACTTTTTCCTTATTATTATTGAATGGTAATTTTTTTTTTTGATAACATCAAAAATAAAGATAATTTTATCTTGACATGTTTCCCAAATGTTACTTGAAATATGACCACATGGTAACTTATTAACAGGAAAAACTCAATGCACAGTGAGAGAGAGAGTTACGTCCAAGTAACTATTCCAACCAAAACTAAAGAGGCAAAGACACAAAATGGATTTGATAAGTCAGAAAATTGCATCAGAAAAGCAATCAAAACTCAACCACAAAATAAACGAAAAAGGGCAATCAATATCCACATAAAAATGGACTAAATAAGAAGGGAAAAAAACAAAACCGTAAGAAGAGAGTTAAATAATGAATTCACGTACCTCTCGAGGTGGCGGCTGCGAAAAAGAGTAATTGAGCTTCAACTGAGCAGCCAATTTCACATCCTCAGAATCAATTGCAGGCTTTCCTGCATGATCCGAATACACCTGGGCCTCTGTCAAAACATCGACTGCGTATCTGTACCAGAGCTCAAGGAACTGGTGCAAAACCCTAGGCTCATAGTTTTCAACCCCCATGGATTTAAGAAGGGTCTTCACAATCTTCGCGTCTCTTGGTACTTCTTCCTCGTCTCCCATCCTGGTTGGTTATGGAGATGCTTGGCGGGAATCAGAGAGAACCCTAAAATGGAGCTCCTCACAAAATGGGTCTTTCGTAATAGGGCGCCGTTTGCACCTTTAAACAATTAAATTGAATATTGTAACCGTTGATTTAAAATGGAGGGCTGATATTCATTCACTCAAGTTGTCACAAAATAGAAGGCACGGGATCCAACCCATTTTAGGGGGAGAGAGAGAGAGACAGAGAGAAAGCACGGGAGACAAAGGGGAAAGTGCAGGGAACCCATATTTAGGTTCTGAGATAGAGAAAGAGAAATCGAACGAGGAGGTGGAGCAAGCCAGAGAACAAGAAAATCGCTGCTAAAATGACTATAATGAAGATAACAGCAGGGCTTATTTTGTTGGTTGATGTTTCGTTTTGGAAGTTATAAGGAGATGGGTTCAACTGGTTTTGGTGGAGGAAGCCATGAAAGACCACTCGTTGAGGAGGTGGGCTAGGAGGGATGAAGCTTGAGATTAAGCTTTGCTTGCTTTCTGAGAAAACCCAACTCATTTCTCTGCGAAAATTTCACCATTGTTTCAGATATTTCTTGAATAATCAACTATTAACGGAGCGCCCCAAGTTGTTATATAAAACCCGTCAGTTTTTCTCCACAAAAAATCGATATTTTCGCTCCTATGATCAGAGATTCCTCTGCAAATCCGCCATTAGTGAAGCTCCAAGCTGTTCTTACCATACCCAATTCATTTCTCTGCAAAAAAGGTGAGAGTGGTCCTTTCTGTTCAAAGCTTCCCGTGCAAATCCGCCATTAATGAAGCTCCGAGTTGTTCTTACAAAACTCAATGCATTTCTCCGCAAAAGAGTAAGATTGGTCCCCTCTGTTCAGAGATTCCTCTGCAAATCCGCCATTAACAGAGCTCAGCTTCTCCGCAATGCAGTCCTTGCCTATGTTTCAGTGCTTCCTCTGCAAATCCGCCATTAAAGAAGCTCGGAGTAGCTCTCAAAGAAGAAGCCCCGCTGTAAAGAAGCTTCTTTTAATGAAGCTCAGGGCTGTATTTAACAGGGAGTTCCTTTTGCAAATTCCACCATTAATGGAGATTCAGAGCTGTTATTGCAAAGGAAAAAGAGAGTAGATAAAACCTATAAATCAGAGTCCAAGCAAACAAAAAAACAAAAAGTGGAGGAATTTTTCAGTGGAATAGACCATCTTACCTGTGTTTTCTCTCTTCATCTCCCGTGCTTTGTCTTTCTCTCTCTAAACATAATAATGGGTTACGATCTCTCACTTTCTCTCTCTACTGGAGGCTCCTTCGAATGGGTTACCGGTTGAGCCGGTACCCACCCCATTGCGTGATAACTCGAGTGAGCGAATCTTACCCCCTCCATTTTAAATCAATGGTTAAAAAAATAAGGGATGTAGGCATTGTATCTTTGTAAAAAATTTCTACAAGCGACCTGTAGAATTAAGGTGCATATTAAAAATTCATCATAAAAAGTTAATTTAATGTTAAAAACATTCTAATTAGTTATTTCAATATTGAGATGTATAAATATGAAAAGAAAAAAGAATTCGAGTTCCAAATAAGATACATCTTGCAACACATTATCTCGACCATCCATTTGAATTATTTTTAAATTTTAAAATTTGATTGTTTAAAGTTTCAATCTTATACAAACCACACCTTCTACCTTCCAATAGTCACAATTAATCTTGATCATTCGATATCTAATTAGATAACTTGAGCTGTTTCACAAAGTTTAAAAAACAATTATTTAAAGTTACAGGCTTATGCAAACCATCATCTATCTTTAATCCAAAGGGTGTGTCATAAAATTTTAAAAAAAATTTGTTGCGTTTTGAGTTTGTTATAAGTATATTTATAACCATTTGATTTGATTTGAAATTTGACAGATAATAATCGTGACCTCCTTGTACTAAAAGTAAATAGTCTCTTTATTACTTTTCTTTAAAATAGAGTGCACCATCAAATTTAGTCATAAGATGCATTTTTTTTTGGTATATAATAAGAAACAATTTTAGTGTTGAAAATTATTAGGACGATATAAAAATCTATTTTTATCTCTAATTACAAACTTTTAAACTTTAAAAATCGTTCAAATCAAGCAAATCTAAAAATATATGAAAAATCTTAAGAATTGATGGTCTAAATAATGTGTTGAACGACATTGTTTTTGGGACCTGAAATCTTTCCCTTTTCCATTTCAATACATCTTGATGCCGAGATGATCAATTCAAACATTTTCTAATATCAACATTTTAAGGGGTCAACTTCATATAAAGTCTTACTTACCCAAAAAAAAAAAAAAGTCATGTAAACTTTTTCCCTAAAAATATCATTAAAGAAAAGTGTTATACGAGTGAGGGGTCGCATACTTTGAGAGAATGGAACCCAAAATAAATGGTATAATTTTTTTTTAATAAATACTTTGAGAAATGACATTATGATCCCCTACTTTTGTGAGTAGGACTCGAAAAGATCACCATTAAATTTGACACAGATCTTTAGAAAAATTATCACATGGATATGAGACATGACTTTTCTTGATATCTGTACAAAATTTGATGGTGATCATTTGGGGTCCTACTCACATGGATGTTGGAGGTTCTCATAGAATCATTACTCAAATAGTTTTTGAGATGTAAAAATTTAATTTTTTTCATATTCAAGATCACATTTTTTAATAAATACTTTTTGAGATGTAAAAATTTATTTTTTTCATATTCAAGATCACCAATGCTTAGATCATGAATCTCCTAAAATTTTAGAAGAAAAAAATTATATAAGGTGTTAACCTTATAATGTAGAAGTAAGATGCACCTTAAAAATCCATCCCAAAAGGTTGTTCCAAAGTAAAAAAATCCCACAATTGATCATCTTGGCCTCAAGATGTATAATTAATAAAATAAAATAAAATAAAAATAAATAAATAAATTCAAATCTTAAACATAATGCATTTTGTAACATATTATCTAGACCACCATTTCTAAAATTTTAAAAGTGTTTATAACTTTGCTCAACCTTAAATATGTTTTCTACTTTAAGTTTCATATTTAGTGGTAAAAACTGCACCTTTTAACAAGATTTAGAAAGTACATCTTAATTTGATTGTTTAAGGTTGACTCTTTATACGAACTTCACCCAAGTTCAAAGGAAAAAATTCTTTAAAAAATGCTATTTTGATGTTGAAAAACCATCTATTTGGTCATATCGACATCTAAATGTGTAACTATGGAAAAAAGAAAGACTTCAAGTCCCAAGAAAGTACATCTTGCAGCACATTATCTGGACGACCATCTATTTTAAATATTTTAATATATTTATAGATTTGCTTGATTTGAATCAGTTTTAGAGTTTAAAATTTTATAATTAGAGATGAAAATAGATTTTTGGTTCAAAAACTTTTGACATGAAAATTGCATCTCACTACAAAATTTGAAAGTGCGTCTTTGATTGTTTAAGATTGCAACCTTAGGCAAACTTCACCCAAATTTAAATTCAAAATCCACGTTAATGTGAACTTTAGAAAGGGGGTACACATGCACATGTGAGTTGAGGACTCAGATAAATGCCATCCATCATTAAAAGGATGGCTTGTGGAGAAAAATTTATTTTATTTGCAGGCCTGGCAATGGGCCTGGCTTGCGCCAGCCAGCATGGGCTCAAACCCGGCTCTGGTTCTTACAAAGCCAGCCTAAGCTTGTACCGGGCCAAGTGCTAAGAGTTTGAGGCAGTTTCTTTGAAATGGAGCTCCAAAATTCCATTATTCATGAATGCAGGAATACTGTTTCTTAATTTGGAATGGGTGTAGCGATAAGAGCAGTCCTACTGCTGTTGTCTGAACTCTTAAAAGGGCTAAGTGGGGGTGCACCAGAGGTTTCATGGAACTGCCGCTAAAGGGAGCCATGGCTTTCCCTCCTCCTCTTCATCTTTCTTTGACCTGCTTCTCTCTTATCTATGTTTCTTTCCTTCTTCTTTTCTTTTCTTCTTCGTGATTTTCTCCTCCTTTCCTTTTCTTCTTGTTTTTTTTTTCTTCTTCTGGCGGAGCTAGATTTCCAACCACCATTACCCTCGCTCTACCTTGGTCTTTGGGTGGAGGGAGATTTAAAGTGAGCCGGATTAACGAATTGAGGTGCTCCTCACCTCATCGACTTTTTCTTCGGTAAATTGTTCTATTGTGGCTCCTCGTCCAATCAAAGACTCTGCAAAGCCCGGTGTTCCTCTCCGGCCTGGGCCTGATCCATTCTCGAATTGAAAACAAACTTGTTTTGATCCAGATCATTCTTTTGCTAGCCTTTCACGGTCGAGTCCTTTTGGAAACGCTTATCCTTTCATCCGTGCTAATAGATTTATTAAGAGGCCCGCATATTTACATCTGCAGGCTTAGTTGCATAGAAACCAGGTCCTTTAGATCTTGGCCGGGTTCTTTTTCTTAACGTCCATCTTAAAGATGGACATTTGATAGTCAAGCGGCACTTGCATCGCTCTGAGTACTTCACGATAATAGTATTATCATAATAAATCAATTTTAAAATTATGTGCCATAAGACCATTTACTATTGCCACAATCATTCATAGCTGTTAAATGTGAAATCTGTCGATTTGAGATACGTCATAAAGTCAATTTTTTTTTTTTTGAAAACTGAGCCTTGTCAATAAGATACTTATAGCCAGTTGATTTTACATCTAATAGTTAATTTTGATTGTGATTTTCTTATACCAAAGATGAATGGTCTAATATTGCTGATACTATACCATAAGCTAATGCTTCATAAATTCACCCTCTAAAGAAAATATCTTACGGGTATCCATTTTACGAATATTTTTGCATCTATTAATAAACTAGAGTGCGAATTGTATAAAACCAAGGCTGTACGTGGGCATTCTTTATACCAAAGATAAATGGTCCAATATTGCTTATACTATACCATAAGCTAATGCTCCAGAAATTCACCCTCTAAAGAAAATATCTTAAGGGTATCTATTTTACGATTGATAGCCTTAAAATATATTTTCATGTCTAATTATAAAATTTAAAGCTTAAAAAATAGTATAGATCGAACAAATTTATGAAAACTTGAAAATCTTGAAAAATGCATTATGAGATAAACTATCACCAAAACTTGATATCCTTTTTTTTTTGTCATGTTCATGCATCTTGATCTTGATATCCTTTTTTTTTTGTCATGTTCATGCATCTTGATCTCAAGATGATCAATTTGGGCATCAAAACAATTTCTCCTAGTGAAATTTTTGAGGTGTGCCCTATTTTGATTGTTTAGAGCCTTGCACTTATATAAACTTTTTCCATAAAGTAATACATAAGAGTCATACATAGTAAAATAACAAATTAAAAGATTTCGCTAAAATTGTCTTTTGGAAATTCCCCAAAAACCTAATCATAGGTTGGAAGGGTATAAATAAAAGGATCCATGAATATTTGATTACCAAACAATAGAAATGATAATCATTGCTGGGAATTCATGAATTTTAAAATCGGTTTCCGAATAATAGAAAAAAAAATCATAGACAAGGATATTTGACTTTCAAAATCCATAAGAATATGAAAATCAGAGATTTATGATTTTCTCCTACCTGAGCTACCCAGAAGGCAAAAGTTATTCCACCACTAGAAACAAGGAGTGCATTTTGATCAAACACCAGAGTGTTGAATCTCTTCTTGTCATGGAACTGGGCATTGATCAACATTGTTACCTAATTGGATTGCGAGGACATGTGTGTGTGAGAGCGAGAGAGAGAGCAAGGTGTACTATTACCCAACCAAAATTGTTGTAACTTACAATAATTGCCGCTTTACATATCATCTGAAACTCATGTACTGGGTTAAGCACCAGTCTCAGAACAGTGTTAGAGCTATTTCAGCTTGGGTTGGAGACGGATACTTTCTAAGAAGCTCAATCACGTCTTCATTTGAAAGAGTTCAACCATAAACACATGGGCGCTATTTCTCACCAATTCTCAGTGAGTTCAACCATAAACTTATGGGCGCTATTTCTCGCCAATTCTCAATTGCATTTCCCTGCATAATCCACCAAAACAAATTTAGACCACCATGGATTAATTGCTTCTACCAATATGCCTTCAATATTAGCAGCCTGTAGAAACAAAGCTAAGACCAAAAGGCAGAAGAGTATCGGTTAAACCCAGAAGCGGATGTTTCTTTTCAGTGCTAGAAGGTTGCAAAACAGGACACAGAACACAAATCCACTTTCTAGTTTGATTCCCACTATCAAAAGAGAATGGAAGAGCATACTTGATTCCACTTGTCTGTAATCTGAGCTTCTCAAAAGAATAACAGAATAACAAAGACTCAAAAAACTACTAACTACAAACAAGGGCAATAGTCAGTTGTCGCTTCCCTCTTTTATAAACTCAGGTATCAATTTGGAGAACCCCAGAAATCAGTTCAAATTGAAGTAAATAAACGGGAGCAGTGGTTAATTTCTATAATCCAATTAGATAGCTAAGATTTACTTGCTTCCCGGTGAGACAAATGGGGTCCGAATCATTAATGCAAAACACGAAGTTTGGAAGGTTAAAGGACAGAGGATGTACAGAAGAGTTTAGAACTCACCAGAGGGTCACGGGGAAGAGTCTAGAGCATTGCGGGTAGAGATGGCAACGGGCCGGCCCTGGTCTCCCTATAGGGCCAGCCCGAGCCTAGCCCAGATGGGCTGAAGAGACCCAGGCCTAGGCTTGGTCTTGTTCCTATCAGGGCTGGGCCAGGGCAAATAAACTTGGAGAAGAAAAAAAAGGAAAAAAGGGCGGGGACAAACCAGGCTGGCCGTGTCGTTGCCCTAGCCTAACCCCTGGCCCAGATCAACCTTTGGGCTGTGGTGGCCTGGCCTTAGCCCAGCCCTTGGGTCCAGGCCCTAGTTTTGCAGGGCAGGCTGTCTGGCTGGGCCTCCTGACCCATTGGCAGCCCTAGATAGAGGGTAGAGGATATTATAAGAGAACCAAGAACCATGATGGGTAGCAAAGCTTCCAACTTGAACAGATAGGGCATGTGAAAATGGTATTTAAAAGGTTCAAATTGAAGGGGATCACATTTGGCATCAGTGAAACATCTGGCTCAGCATGTGTCAATATGCCACTGGTTTATTTCAGGATGAATTTTTGTGTAAGAAATTTGCACTGTGATTCAGGTAGTGGACATGATGAAGCTAGATGATAGAGGCTACACTGCTTATAAAAAGAAATCCATTTAATGTGATCAACAGTCATATAAGGCATCGATTGGTCATTCATTCTAAGGAAGGCTTATGACATAGAGTTCGCCAACTTTGCTGCAATCTCTTTTCAGCATGTACATAGGGAAGCTACTGACTAATTGGATGCACTACCAAAAGATGAAAGATGCCTTCAAGCATATGATCCCTGAAAAGGGATTTTGACCATGTATAGCTCGTATGTATTTATTAAGAAATAGAAGTTACTAAAAAAGAAAACAGAAATCACAAGCATTACATAGGCTAACAAGGCACTCATTGAAGCTTCCTTGTTTGGCCAGGCCATCCGCGATGCTCTTGCCCTCACGCCACATGTGTCGTCAAAGGAGATATTATTTGGACCAGTTGGAAAATTTCCTCGAAAACCTACTCTACCCTCCACGCTCACCAAACTTGTCATAGATAGAGATAAAACATTCAGCTGATATGTTTATCTGTTTTGAGTTTTCAGTGCCTTTGTGTATCTGTGTGCATGCGCACCTGCGCATGGGTGTGCATGTGCACGTGCAAAATAAGCACACCAAGTATACAAAATATGGAAATTAAAGAAGTAATATTTTATGAAACAATGCGGATAGAGAAATTGTATGCAAACAAAATAAAAGATGGGAAAACATCGAGGAAAAAGAGTAACAAAAGAGGTAAATATCAGGGTCATGCTTCCAAATTAAGTGTGTTCATTTCAAAGAATGCCAAACAGTACTACTCTGCCACTTCTTAATCACAAGGGTCGTAATTGGAAATTTAAACTTCCTTTCATATATAATCCAAAACTAATGCCAGGTTTGCAGCCCTGATACAGAATGCTTCATCGAAATCATTGGGCCATGGCACTATGTAGTCACTCTAAGCATCAAAGATGAAATGTCACTCTAAGCAACAAAGACTAATCAAACATCAGCAATACAGCAGAAGCATAGTGACGAAGACTAATCAAACATCAGCAATACAGCAGAAGCATAGTGACGTCTCGGCTTCCTTCCATATCAAATAAATATAAGGAAACACCTATATGGAAAATTGGATAAAAAATGATGTTTGTGAACGACAGTGCAAGTGATCTCTGAGTCCCTCTTAAGGCCATAGCAATCACATTAGAAGAAGCAACATATTTTAGCCAATTTTGTATGCACTCAATGTAAGAAGGAGATGTGCATTTGCCAATTCTAAGAAGATTAGGGCAATAAAAGGAAATAGACATCAAATAATGTACCAAGTGCTCAACTGAGGATAAGAGCCTAACAATACAAGTGCATATCAGTTGGTGTGGTTGGTTCCTCAGTTGCAAAGGAGAATGGAAAGAAGAAATGAAAGCAGCATTGGTGGTTATCATTCACATGTCTCACAGTCTGACCACTTAAAAGAACTTTTTGGTGCCGGTTTAGGATGCCGCCTATGACCTTGAACACAAGATATAATTATATTAGCAATCATTTAATGTCCATGTTACATGCCATTCGTTCACACATCAACCTTTCAAGGGTGAAATAACAATTAGGTTCCTCTCCAATAATATTAGGAGGCTATTATTTTTTTTAAGGTAACTATTAGGAGGCTATTGTTGACAACATGATGTCAACGTTTCCCTAAAAAAAAAAGAGACACCCCAGTATACTTCATACCAGTTTTCAGAAGTCATTATCAAATGTAAACTCCCCACAAATTCCATTACATTTGGCACCTATTCCCCATCAAAATTTAATACATTTGGCACCTCTTCCCCATCAAAATCCAATACATTTGGCACCTATCTGGAGGCTCTTTGAAGTTGCTTTTTTTTTTTTCGAACTTAGAAATAAAAAATGACCAAGACTTATTTTTCGACCAAATTATTTAACTTGAATGTGAGATCATTGGACTACTCTAGAGCAAGAAGAAGTGACCAAGTCATGAATAAATACATCACATGTATTCACCCAAAAAAAAAAAATACATCACATGTATAATAGTGTCTTTTCAAATAAAATATAACCACAGAACATAACAAATTTAGGTATCCATTCACATACAGGCCAACCTAATATCAACCCATCAGACAACTGCTAAAAGGTTTTGATTGAAAAACATTAGTCATTTTGTCTGCATCACAATACACTTGAATTAACTTCTAAAACTTCGTGACTTATCAAAAAAACATAACACACACACACACACACACACAAAGGGTGGAGGGAGGGAGAGAGAGAAGTGAGTATAAGTCATAGTTTCAAGTTGGAGGTTTTCAATAAAAACAAAAGACTAGTACAGAAAATCTCAGTTTTAACTTGCTAGGCCTTACCAATGATTGAAAGCGGTGCTTGCACTAAACCAAGAATCCGAGTCATACTTTGGCTTTGGAACTCACTTGAATGGATTTCAATGAATTGGATACAATTTGCATGACATTCTTTGGTCAAGCAGCTGCTGGAATTTCCATTCTTTTCAGTGCACAAGGAATCGGTCTTGAACTGGAGGATGTTAAATCCAGATTGAGCCTGTTTTCTGACACCATAGCTACAATTTGGCTGGCTTCATTGGGCATACCAGCCTTCAAAAGCAAAGTTATCAAAGAATTTACTGTTATAGCATCAGGAAAACAGCGTTTATCAAACATTTTATGGAAAAGATCAATGGCTTCAACCACTCTCCCTTTCATGCAATGGCCAACAATCAAAATGGTATATGTGAACTTATCGTGTTCACAACCTTTAGCCTCCATTTCTTCCACAATGTGATTCGCCTCCTCCACATTGCCTGCCTTGCATAACCCGTCTATCACGGGATTGTAAGTAAACGGTTCAGGAACGAAATTTCGGCATTTTAATTGCAGCAACAGAGCATAGGCTTCTGATACTCTATTTTCCTTACATAAAGCATTGATAATTACTGAGAAAGTATACTCATTAGGAGAAATTTTTCGGAACCCCATTTCTCCCCAAAGCCTCAAAGCTTCATCAACTAGCCCACCCCGGCAATTCGCATCAATCAAAGTGGTATAGGTAACAACATCTATAAAACACCCTTGAGCACTCATCTGCTCAAATAACGACTTTGCCCGCCCCATATTTCCCAACTTTCCATAACCATCAATGAGAACATTGAAAGTTACAGTGTTGGGTTTTATTCCATTGTCAAGCATTTCAGCAAAGAGCCTCTCAGCCCCTTCCATATTCCCTGCCTTGCAATAGCCTGTTATCACAGCTGTGTACGATACAACATCGGGGGCAAAACCATTATTTGGATGAATTTCTTTTAACACCCCGCAAGCCCTATCAATATGGTTAACCCTGCACATCCCACGATAATGGTATTATATGTAACTAAATCAGGAGAACAACCAAAGGCCTTCATTTCTTTAAGAAACATCCATGCCTCATCAATTCTTCCCCTTTTGCATAGCCCTTTTACAATAATGTTATATGAGCAAGTATCGAAAATCGAGTTCTTTCTCAAATGGTTTGTGAAGAAATACACAGCCTCATCTATATTGTTCATCTTAATCAATAAATGCAAAAATTTATTGCACAATACCACATTGGGCCTGAAATTATTCTCTAGTGCTTGTATAATTAACCTCATTGCACCATCAAAATTACCAGCTTCTGAATAGCTAGAAACCAACAAACCAAGGACCCAGTTATTTGGTAAATGACCTGATTTCCTCATGCCCACATAAACTTCATTCGCCTTCTCAGGAAATCCACCATGACAAAGAATTTTTATAAGGTACTTATAAGTTTCTATTAAGTGATCGAAACCCAATTCAGCATTCGTATAATCGAAGAATCTCAATGATAACTTGGGGTCATTCAATCTTTTAATAACCTCGAAAGAGACCAAAGGGTTCAACGCTTTAGAGAAATGTTTCAGCCTGGACTCCAATGAAGAACACCAACCAACCCTAACACACAAAGTGCATAAAACCTTAACTAACCAAGCATCAGGGTTAGGGATTACCTCTGAAACCCTAACTGGTGGACCATTCTCAAATATAGGGCTCGAACCTCTGTACGCAAGGTCGTGGAAGCTGAATACAATGCCCTTTTTAAACCTCAACCGTGGTAGAAGCATTTAAAACGCTCAGGGAATCGACCTCTAGAGAGAAGATACCTCATCGGAACCATGGAGCCATTGTTGGTTCCAAAGGTCCGAGAAATGGAGCTTCTGATAGATTTACCAGGGAATATCTTCGGTTGTACATGCCCTAACTTCTGAGATGACTCTTCAATCCATTGTCTCGTCATGGCGAGGCTAGAGAGAGAAACTGAGGCATGGCAGTAATGGGGAGAACTCAAAGAAGTGAAATGGATTTTTGGAAAGGAGTAGGAAGTGGAGGAAGAAGTGAGAGAATGGCCATGAAATCTTCCGAGTTTAGAGAGAGAGAGAGAGAGAGAGGAGAAGGTTCAGAACAAAAGAGTACACATAATAGGTTGGGCTATTTATCAGATTTGACATTGTTTTCGCTGGAAATTGCGTTAACGACCCTGCACATAAATGGACTTCTGTTTCTTTTTTTGACTTTGGGTGTATTTTTCATAAGGTTGGAGCGTTAAATTATAACGAGAAAAAAAATATAAATTTCCCTGTAAAAGTTTAATCCCAAATAAACCCCTCCTCTTATGAATATCATGAAACCTCCAAATAAACCCCTCCTCTTATGAATATCATAAAATCTCAACTTAAAAAGTGCATTTAATCCCTTCTTTATTTTTTTCTATTGTCTAAATTTAATAATTTACTCGTCTTTTTTCTTTTAATCTCCTTATTATCTTAAGGATGCGGTTCGTCAAGAGCCTAGCTTCAAATAGCCAACAGGTTTGTATAGAGCCTACCTTCAAATAGTATTGAGAAATGTGGTTTCAATACTAAAAATATGTGATAGCCTTAAAATATAGTTTTAGAGCAATGATCCAATGCAATGGCTGTATCATAGTACAATGCAACGACATTTCTAGAAAACTATGCTTGTGGTATTTGTAGGCCACAAAATTTACACACACACTCTCTTTATCTCAATAATCAATCTAAAAATAAAAAAATAAATTCAATTTGAACCCTAGATATGGTCAAAATGAGTCCCTTCCAAAAACAAATATAGACTATTCATTTTGTGAATTTCAAGATCTTAGCCTTTATAAACTCAAATTCATTTTTTCCTTTTTTAACATTGTTCATTTAATGATAATAAAGCCATCCAAAAAAATTGGAAAGGAAAAAAAATCCCTCTAAAGCTTAAATCTAAGCATCTCACCAAAATGGACGGCCTATGTTAATTGGGCTAAAAAAATACTTTCTAGGTTGTGTTTTCAATTTTTATGAATATATTGTATATTTCAAATTTTGGATCAAACCAATGGCCATAAGATGGTTTTTTAAGATTGTTACATCGTATTACTATACAATGGTTGCATGAAAATCATTGCCCATTATTTATATTTATTTATAAAGTTTAAAGCTTAAAAAATAGTGTGGATTGACAAATCTATGAAAACTTGAAAATCTTGAAAATTGACGGTCCAAAAATGCTTTACAAAATACACTATTCTAAAACTTGAAATCCATTTTTTTCTCACCTTTATGCATCTTGATGTCAAGGATGATTAATTTAAAGATATTTGAGCACCAAAACAACTAGTGAAATTTTTTAGGTAGGCTCGAATTTGATTGTTTAGAGCCTCAGCTCTATATAAACTTTTCTCTTATCTTAATCCCGAAAAGTTCTCTTGCTCTTTGCTTGATCTCTCTCATGTTATGAGAAAGTTAAAAGATGCATTACAAACTCCATTTTTTGTAATGGGTTTATTTATTTATTTTTATTTTTTTAAAAGGTGTTTCTATAAGGTTACAACTTTAAACAATCCAATTAAGGCGCACCTCCAAATTTTATTATAACATCTATTTTTGGTGTAAAAAATTCTTAGGATTATTTGAAAATCTATTTTCATATATAAATTATACAATTTAAAACTTCGAAAAATGGTTTAAAATCAAGTAGATCTATAAATATATGAAAAATCTTGAAAATGGACGGTCTAGATGATGTGTTGCAAGATGCACCATTATTTGGAATCAAAATCTTTTCTTTTTCATATTCTTACATGTTGATGTCGAGATGATCAATTAGAAAGTGTTTCAACATTAAAACAACTTTTTCCAATGGATTTTTGAGGTGCATTTGTAATTCTATGTTTTAATGTTGCAACCTTAGATAAACTTTTTTCTTTTTTAAAAGAATGATAAATTCAATAAAAAGAAAGTATAGAATGAGACTATTTACCTTTGATACAAGGTTGTCACAACACTCATGACCATTGTATGTGAAATTGAGTGGCTGCAATTATTCCATTAACCAAAAATTTTTATCAAACTTTGTGACACATGTAAGTTATCACATCAAATGGTTGTAAAAATTGTTACCACCTTCTATCACATATAAATGGTCTTATTGTATACAATCCCATTAAATAATCTGGACAATGGAAAAGCTAAAAAAGGTTTATCGTTTTGTGTTTACCTTAGGGGGTTCCAAAGGCTTTTTGTGGAACCAAGGGGTTATTCGGACAACAATTTTAGAGAGGAGGTATACGTTATTTTCCCATTAGTCAAAATAAGGTGCCCCACCAAATCTTTGTTTGTTTGTTCATATTCATCCATCTCAACGATTAGACGGTTTTCAAACTTCAATAAAAAATCTTTTGTGATGGATTTTTTAGCTTCACCTTAATTATGCTGCAATGTTATATAAACTTTTAAAATTTTTGCAAATCTCTTTTAACGTAGTCCGTAAAGGTTGGAACCTTACTTATAGAAATAGGATCTTTATAAATAAATGACATAACTTAATGTCTTTTAAAAAATTGTAAAAAGATAATACATATTTTAAGATAACGTTAAATCTACACCTATCGCACCTCCAAATAAGATGAACGGTGTAAATTACAAGAACATTATTTCTACCATTAAGGTTGCAGCTTCATATAAAGTTTTCCTATTTCGGTTTTTGCAATGCTCAAGTTTTACGAAGAAAGTAAAACCTCACTTTGAAACTGCGCCTAGAAAACACTTTGGGCATGGGAAATCCCTATAATAGCTCTAAAATATATTTTCACCACTAATTATGAAACTTGTAGCTCAAAAAATAATATAACTCACACATACATGAAAATTGACGATTTAAATAATGTGTTACAATATATACTCTTTTCAAAGCATAAAATCCATTTTTTTTTAACAAGGTTCGAGGCTCATATGATTGATGTGAAGGTCTTTCAACGTGATAACTTCAATTTCCAATGAGCTTTGAGGTGAGATTTAACTTTTTTTAATAAAGCCCTAGCTTTATTTTAACCATGGCATTATTTACAAATAAATCATTTATTTTTTGTACATGGAAGGTACCATTGTAAGAAAATTTGAACTAGAACGGTTAACTAGACAAGGAGCCGAAAATTGTTACCGGACAAGTCCCAAGCATTCACAAAAGTGTTTAAAAAAAAATATCTTATAAAATATGAAAAGTATATGTACAACATGATTAAACAAAACACATTCAAATGAAATTGAAAATTAATGAAAAATAAATAAATATTAAAAAATCGATTTGAATCCAAGGACATTTTTGAAATTTTTCAAAAAAAATATAAAAATAAGTATTAATGGTCAAAACAATTTCCAATCTTTGCCAAAATGATAAAAAAAAATTAAAAAATGTATTATAAACAAAATCCTTTAGTTTTTTATTTATTCTATTATTGTTATTATTTTAAATTCCCAACCAGTGCACTAAAACCGGTCCTTCATTCCGATCTAACCGTGTCTAACCCGCCGATTAGAATTTGAACTGCCGATTTCCTATACTAAATGTCATAATCATTCTTGTCCCTTAAATTTCTAAATGAGTAATTGTAATAGTATCATTGAATAAATACAAAGTTCTAAAAAAACTTCTCAGATTTTATAACTCATCTCAAACCATCCAATTTGACATCTAATGAATGAGAATGACTATGATCTCTACGTACAAAAGATAAATAGTCTCTTTATAGACAATCTCTTGTATTTTACATTTTCATCTTTCTTTTCGTGTGTTTTATTTTTCTCAAAATAACCCCATTTAGAACTAGTAATTTAGAATGGCTTGGTATAAAACATCGATGTTGTAAAAACCATTAGTTTCAAACCGCTTATGGTAAGGAATCAAGATGGTCTTAAACAAATAGGCTGCTCGTTGCAAGGAGTTGGTTCCAAATGCTCATTGTAAGGAATCGAAGTGATATTGTTAATGGCACACGTTATACAAATATCATCCCAAAAAATCTAAAAATAAAAATAATATATATATATATATATATATATATATATCTTTCCAACACTTATAAGAAAAAATAAATAGTGATTTTACCTACCATCATAACTGTTCAAAGTTCATCACGCGTTCACGATTGTCTGAAAGTGTTTCATTTTTTATTTTTTTTCTACAAATCGAAATAACTTAAAATTTAAAAATTATGTACATCTTACTGAAACGCATCTAATAAAAATATAAAAAAATTATCTATAAAAATTAAATTGACCAAAACACCCCCAAATCTTTTTCGGTATTTTGATCAATATTTTTCATGTAAAATATTTTTTTTTATATAATTTTCAAATATTCCTCTATTTTTTATGAATACATGCTCAAAATTTTAAATCATTCGGATTTGTAGAAAAAAAAAATGAAACACTATCGAACAATCGTGATCGCGCGATAAACTTTAGACATGAAAGCAGACAAAATTACTGTTCATTTTCGCTTATAAGCGTTGCGTAGTATTTTCTTTTATATATAGATATATATATACTACTGAACTGTTTTCCCCACCTTAGAAAACCCCCAAGGACAAATAAATACCCCCAAGGCCAAATAACTGTAGGAGTTCACAGTTTAAATGCTATTGAGAGATACAAACACTAACAGATGAAAAGAACAATTGTTAAAAGAATTGAGGCAACTCCCATGTATTTTTGTACAGGGCAGATGCTTGCGATCCACAGCTGAATGCCAATTATCCTCTATGTTGTTCAGATGTATTAAGATGGTGGTGCTCTCAGCTTTGAAATCCTCTTCTGCAAATCTATGTTCAACAGTTTCTCTTCCTCCAGAGCCCGTTCAAGCTAAGGCAAAACCAACAAAAATAAGCATTAGCAGCAGACTTCTTTCATACATACATCTCCCCACCCTCTCTCTCTCTCTCTCTCTCTACTAAACTACTATGTAGTGGTGCTATACAACAAACTTGTAGTAGTTGGTTAGACGGTTACTTATACTTAGTAGGTAACTAAACCTAAAACTACTTTACC